AAATGCCCTGAGTGTGTTTTGATTCGTTGTGTCAGCCATGACCATCTGGCCTGGCGGTGTTGGCATAACATGATGTAGTGGCCAAAGCAAATCGTCGTTTGGAGAACAGACGGGCCACTACATCATGTTATGCCAACACCACAATGCCACATGGTCATGGCTGACACAACGAATCAAAACACACTCAGGGCATTTATCGATTTTTTCTGTACGTTTAAATTTTACGGCGGAACCCTGTGCACACACAAACTGTTCTGTATGTCTCTGAAGATGAATCCGCGACGGATTTCGAAACGTCAGACGAATAAGCATATTGTCCCAGCGATCGAGTTGCCTTCTAATTCTCAATCTAATGTTTCTCGACAAAAAAACACGCCATAATTAAAATGTGCAGTTATGCAATTGTTTGGAAATACCTACTTTAAAAAATAACTAACTAAATCTAAACTCAACTAACTAAAAACGTAAACTAAAGTAATCTAATCTCACTTAACTAAACAATAATTTAAGACTAAAATAAGATTAGTAAACACAATAATGAACTGAAAACTGAGCTTAAATGTACGTAAGTTAAATAAACCAAATAAAATAAACTAACGTCATCTTGCTACACATGTTAATTGGAGTTGCGCGTAGTGCTTCGCGCCGCGGACTATACTAATTTAACTCCAGAACGGTAAAGCTGACCTCAAGTAAGTTGAAGTAGACCTCCTAATCACCATTTTTTCAGGAATAACAAGAAATCCAATGATCTATAAAGTGAAAGTAAGTAGAAAATGTCAAAATTTGTCACACCCAATAAACTATAAGTAAGTAAGAAATGTAAGGATTTATTTAGGGCGCACTATTTTGTTGCGAAAACATAAGAATATATAAAAAATTTCTGGCACCCAAAGTGGGATTCCACCGAATAGTTTTCCTCCAGTGCAGACTGGGGAACAATGGACATTTGTTAGAGTGACGCTTCCTCTTTCACCGGCAAGTCGCGCTACGGGATTGGTTCCCTTTTTCCTGCAGCAATTTGGGAGTCGAAGCTTCCACTGGGACCATATTCGGACAACTCCACCCAGTTACTTTCCTTCAACTGTCCGGGTCTGTGACTAGCTGTTTATATGACGGTTTGCAAGCAGTGACATAGAGCTATCCACGAAGCTAAACTGAAAGGGCACTCGGGGATAGCAGACTTGAGGGCAAATGAAATTAAAAATAGTAAGAGCTATTGCTATTCTACGATCCAACCACTTGAGACCAGGCGTTGTTGGAATGCATTGTGGGCGCCGTGGATAAAATTCGTTCTCCGTTGTAATTTTTTTGTCATTTGTGCGGACAACTAACAATCGTAATGCTGCCGTATCGAGAGTCCGTCATCCGTTTTCTTTTGCTGTTCACTGTCTTGTGTGTTAATGGCCGTAAAATGTATTTTTCGACCCTGCAAGGTTTTCATAGTAGCTGTGAATCCTTTGTGTGCACAAGTTACCTAAAGATACTTACACTTTTTGCAACAGTAGAACCCACCTCGCCCAAAGTCGGAAAACGAGAGATTCTGTGGGTGTATACG